AGGCAGAGTCTTGCTGAGTCACTAAGTTACCCAGCCTGGGCTCAAACTCATGATTTTCCTGCCTCCGCCTACCAGGGTGCTGGGATTATAGTGTTAGGCCGGCATGTCAGCTAGACAGGTTTCTTAATTCTTCCCAACATCCTTACCTGTGAAATGGGCATAATATCCACCTCTTAGAATTATGAAACTTAAATGAGTCAATGAAATGTAAGTTACTGGTGTGAGGTAAATGTTTAATGTGTGATAGACTTTTTTTTTTTTACATGTTCTTATACTTTAAAGAATTAGAATCCATCTGAGTCCTCAAATCCCCTTTAGCCATACCACTAAACACACACATACACATACAAACCCATGTGCAGTGCAGGTAAAGTGGCACATACCTGTAATTCTTAACTAGTCAGGAAGTTGAGACAGGAGGACCACAAGTTTCCTGGGCAACTTAGGAAGACCTTGTCTCAAAATAAAAAGGGTTTGGGGTGGTTCCATGGTAGAGCATTTGGCTACCATGTGTGAGGCTCCAGGTTCAATCCCCAGTACCACAAAAGCAAAAACAAAACAGATAAACAAAAAAAACCTGTTGAACTGATGCCATTGAAATCACTACATTATGTTTCATTTCTAAGAGAACACTAAACCTATCCAGTCTTTCTCTTGCTTTACTTAAGGTACTAGATTATTCTTCGTGTTTTTGTAAATTAATACTGTGACATACAGAGGGTTTTTTTTTTTTTAGTTTTTTTGCTGTTGTTCTGTGATGTTTTTCCTTTTAACATAATTCTGCCACATTGTCCTACAATACTTTGTATATCATATGAGAGGAAAGATGGTCCAGAGCCTTGTAAGGGATAAAAGAGGAGAGGACAGGAGAGTGGTGTGATGGTTTGTCTTTCTCACTGACTGTATGAGCTCCACAAAGCAAGGACCATGTCCTAGGGCCAGGGATATAGCTCAGTGACACAAGTGCCTTCCTGGCGAGCACAAGGTCCTGAGTTCAATTCCTGGTACCAAAAAAAAAAAAGATCACATCCTTCAGCATCTCCAGCAGCTGGCTTAGATCTGGCCTGGAGTAGATGTTTTCCTAATGTGGGTAGTATGCAAAACAGTGGAGAAGAAATATGTGTGTCCCAGATTTACTCCTGCAGGTCTTTTGTCTTGCAGTGAGTTTATTTAGCACTAGTAGATCACCCTGAGGGTATAAAATGTATGCATTGGAAATGAAAAACCAGACCCCGTAGAAGCATTCGTAGTAAGCAGCCAAAAGTGAGGCAGAACGCTGGGCACATCCAGTCGTCATTTGAACATACCAGTCCTCAAGCCACTGAGGCTCAAAAATCAGTTAAGCGTATACTTAACTACAGTCATGCCTTGGGACTGGACTGCTTTGAAACTTGTACTGGCTACATTTTGACGTGAAAATTTTTCCTGGTACTCATCATTTATTTGATACTCGGCATGCAGTCTAGAACTTGTCTGTGTTGATTGCCTTTTCAGGCAAAACAATTTGTTTGGTACTGATCATTTTTGGTACTTACTGCACCTCCTGGAACCAGTTAATGAGCAAGGTACTACTGTATGTTTCTTAGTCTCCAACTATGAACTGTAATGATCCTGTCGGTGTTAGCAGAGCCAGAGTTCCTAGGGGGGACAGGACATCTGTGCTTAAAGGGAAGGGAGAGACCTGCAGTGCTACAAACAGATGGGGCAGATTCAAGAAATGAGAACATGAACCCAGGAAGGCATGTGAGGGGGCCTTACAGGAGCCCCGCTGAAGGGACTCTGACACCGGCTGAGGAGGTGCTAGCTAGTTGGCCACCAGCAGTAGAAATGTTGGCTTGCAGAAGAAGCAGCACTATCTAGAGGCTGGCAGGAGGGAGTTTGGTGCCTTCAGTGTGGCTGAGCCTCAAGAGCGTGGATGACACAGATCAGATGAAACCAAGAAAGCCACAGCGCTGGAAAACAAATAAACATGAAGAGTCTGATTCTCAGGCCTTCTCGTGACTGTTCAGCAGCATCCCTCAGGTGTCTTCCAATCTCCAGAACCTCACAACAGAGATTTTGTTTGTGTGTTTGTTTTGTCTTTTTCAGACAAATTCTCATTCTGCTGTCAGTTCAGGCTGGGTTATTTCCTCAACTAGTTTTTCCTTGAATTCATTTTGTAGCCCAGTCTGGCCTCAAACTTGAAGTGATCCTCCTGTCACAGCCTCCCAAGTGCTAGGATGACAGGCACACACAGCTGTGCCTGGCTAAAGGAGGAGATTTTGCAAGCCCTTAACCACCCAGACCAGGAGAATAGGCAGAGCCCAGAGTCAGCCTCCCAGCCTCTGTAAGCAGCCAGGGCAATCCTGCCACAGGGTGGCCACAGCCAAGGCGGGTGGGTGTCTCTGAGGCCCCAGAGAGAGTACAGTCCTATCACTTTTAGTTAAGGGCACTTTCTTAATGTGTAGCTCTGAAGGTTTTCTGGAGCAAATAGCAAAATTCAACTGAAATCAAATTTGTAACCATTTAATCATGTCCTGCCAAATCGTATCTGTTTTCTGTGTGTGAATTTTCTCCATGGTGCTAACATTTACTTGTGTAAGTGTGTCAGGTGTCTACAGGTAGCAAATAGAGGAAGAACTAGTTGAGGAAATAACCATGTTGATCCCTCTCCCCCACCTCAGAAACTGCCCTTTTGTTAAGAGTGAGAAAATGTTGGTTTTGGGCTTTGTTTTTGAGACAGGGTCTTACTGTATAGCCCAGGCTAGCCTTGAACTCACTATGTAGCCAGGCTGACCTCAAACTGTCAGTCCCCCAGTTCCCAGCTTGTGTGTTGGTTTTGGCCTGAGATAAATGCATATCCATAGATATTCATGGATATCCCTTATTGACACTCACCAAGTATAAAAATTAAAAGGGACATTCTTTTACTGAAGGAGGAGACCGTTGGCTGGGAGTGGCCTTCTCACAGTCTTATTTCAGGTAGAACAAGTTCCCCCAGCACACTGTCAGTTTCTCACAAGTTACTTGTATTTGACAGGATCTTCTTTCTGTTTTTCTAGGCTGTTCAGCTTGACCCTGAAGAAGCTTGTTATGCTAAAAGAAATGGATAAAGATCTTAACTCCGTGGTCATTGCCGTGAAGCTACAGGTGAGCTGAGCAGTGCATTCAGGGCCTGGGAAGCTGGATAGCCATTTCCTCACTCTTGGGGCTTTAGAACTTCCCCGGGAGCCACTTTTCTCTCATCACTCCACAAGGCAAGGAGCAGTCTTGGAGCAACGACTGAGCTCTCAAATCCTGGTCCTGGTTCTGCCTCTTAGTTGTGGCTCTCAGTTTCTTCACACTTTACTTTCTTTGTCAGAAGAACAGAAATGGTTCTTCCTGCCCTGCCTCCACAAGAGGATCAGTGAGATAGATGCTAAGAGGTTTTGTATGAGCTGGGCATGGTGGTGCACACCTGTAATCCCAGCACTCGGGAGCCTGAGGCAGGAGGATTGTTGCAAGTTCGAGATCAGCCTGGGCTACAGAATGAGCTCAAGACCAGCCTGAACTGCATAGTGAGATCCTGTCTCAAAAAGACAAAAAAAAAAAAAAAAGTTTTGTAAACAGCTCAGCAGTTATGTGGTGGCCAGCGTCAGTTTCAGTCTTAGTCATAGGAAGTACTTTGTAAGCTTTTCATAGGATGGAAAAAACGGATTATTATTTCAGACTTGGCAATGTTAAAATTTACTGGGATATTTTAACTTAAGAGTAATCCTCACATTTAACTTCTTACATTTGATTCAGTATTTTCAAGAAAATCAAAATGTTTCATAAATGTTTATATTCTTAATTATTCCTGAATTCAGGAAAGGAAAAGGGGAAAAAATAGCCTACAGAAGCATTCATAGTTGGGCATAGTGGCATATGGCTGTAATCCAGCACTTGGGAGGCTGAGGCAGGAGGATCACCATGAGTTTGAGGCCAGCTTGGCTACATAGCAAGAGCCTGTCTCAACTAAACAAACAAACAAACAAACAAACAGAAGCATTCAGGAATTTACCTATTGCCAGCCAGTTACTAAGTGTGGCAGAGCTGGGACTAAAACCAGAATATGTAATTTATGTTCTGTTAAACCTCTTCCCTGCCCTTCCTTAACTGATAATCTTTCCTAATGATGATTCCCTGGAACTTAGTGAGATTCCAGAGTGCCTCTGCAGGTGTGAAATACTGACTGAATTCTTCAGCTTGAGGATGGTGTGTTTACTGAATGTTATTGACTAAAAACAATAACTACATAACTCCATATCAACCAGAACACTTATTGGCTACCTCCCCTTTATACAGCAGTTTATTGTATGAATATTGGCTTAATCAAAGTCCATATCTGTAATACTCACAGTATGTGAATCATAAAGTGTGGTCCTTGAGTCCCTTTCTGGTATAAATACATTATCTTAATTTAGTCCTTGAAACTTAAGTAAAAAAAAAAAAGAAAGAAACTTCAGATGTTTCTGTTACTTACGAATCTTGTATGTCCCCTTTTACATTCAGATTCCCTATTCATTTTATACATAATTCCTCTCAACTCTGTGAAATGTTCCCAGACACTATGGGTTGGAAAAACAAGTGTGGGAAATGATGTGAAGTGGCAGTTTTTATATTTTGTCCTCCTTTCCTGGTTTTGCCCCATTTCTAGGTCACAGGGAGTGTTCTAGTTTTCAGGGAGTGTTTCCTTCACTAAAGGCTGTTGCTTTTCTATGCACACACTGTTGGGATAGTTTGCAATATTCCCTACTGCTTTTCCCACTCCTGCAGTTAAATGCTTTTTCTGAAAGAAGTAATTTATTTTATTTCCTGATTAAATATTTAGCATTCTATAAAATTTTAAATTATACCAAAACTACAAATATCCTGAATTCTTTTTATTGTTTTACTTCCAAGCAGCTGAAAGTAATTATAGGTATTATCACATTCACTTATGCAGTTATCTATTTATTCATTCATTTAATACTTTTGTTTAAACAGAATTTCACTGTATAGTTCAGGTTGGCCTTGAACTCATGTAGCTCAGGCTGAGCTTGAGTTTAAAGCAGTCCTCCTGCCTTAGCCTCCCAAATGCTAGGATTATAGGTGTGGGCCTTCATTTAATAGATATTTACTGAGCATCTGTTATGTGCCAGACATTGGTCTAGACATAGGGGATACAGCAGTGAACAAAACAAACAAAAATCCCTTCCTTTAAGGAACTTTAGTACTAGGATGTAGCCCAGTGGTGGAGCACTCATCTGGAGTGCGTGAGGCCCTGTGTTCAGTCACCAGCATCACTTAAAAAAAAAGAGTAACAGTGCTCAACATGAGGTCCATAGACCCTGGGATCCTAAGGTATTTTCCAGAAGGTACAGGACTATTTTTACAGTAATGCTGTGGCATTGTTTGCCTTTTGCCCCATGTTCACATTTGTTTTGAAAGTACAAGAGCAACAGAGGGTAAGGTTCCTGGCACCAAAACCCAAATGCTCCAGGACATACCGGCAATCATTGCACTGTCAACCACCTGTGCTGGTCAGCTTTCTATCATTATGACAGAATAACCGAAACAATCAAATTAAAAGGAGAAAGGGTTGATTTTGGCTCATGATTCCAGCTTTTCTTAATTTTTTTTTTTTACCGTGCTACATTTATCGAAATTGAGAAATTATCATTAGTACTTAGTATCACTAGTACTAAGAAATTATCATTAGTACATTAGTATCATCACTTACATATCCTTTTCAGTGATGACCTTTTTTCTGGTTTTAGGGGATTTTTTTGAGACAAGGTCTTGCTACATAGTTCAGGCTGGCCTTGAACTCACTATGTAGCCCAGGCTGGCCTGAAACTCATGGCAATCCTCCTGCCTCAGCCTCCCGAGTCTTGGGATTACAGGCGTGCGCCACCATGCCCAGCTCCTTTTTTCTACTGACTGATTCAATTTTGATATATAAGTGCAAAAGCCTTATTTATATGGTTTATAATTCTACTTTGCAGTTAACCTTTAAGATGCTACCATGGGGCTAGGGATATAGCTCAGTGGTGCAGCACCTGCCTGGCAAGTGGAGGTCCTGAGTTTGATTCCCGATACAAAAAAAAAAAAAGAAATGCTGCCACTTGTAGAGTTTTGGTATTATGTCAAAGAAGAATAATCTGTAATTATTTTAAAAGGTATTCAAATGCTTCTCCTTTCTTCAGCTATTTATCTCTTTTGAGTCTAGATTTTTTTATATACTCAACAAAAAAATAGTACTTTATAACAAACTGAATAGAGAAATAGGTATGAGAATCTACTTGTCTTCTATTAAGCCATACATCAAAAAGAAATGTAAAATGATGTCATCTTCAGACACTGCTGCTGGAAATGTTGAATAGTGCAGCCACTTGCAAAAACAATCTGTCAGTTCCTGAAAAGTTTAAACACAGGCCAGGCATGATGACATACACCTGTAATCTCAGCCCTTTGGGAGGCTAAGGCACAAGGATTATTCAAGCCCAGCCTGGGCCACTTTGTGACTCGGTGAAACCCTGTCTTAAAAAATAAAAATGTAAAGAAGGGGAATGAAAAAAAAAAAAACAAAGAGAGGGAGTGGTAGCAGGGTATGTAGTTCAGTGCAAAGGCCCTGGATTCAATTTCTAGTACTGAAGAGGTGTATTGGGGTGAAGGGTAACAGAGTTACCTTATGACCTGGAATTCTGTTCCTAGGTATATACCTAAGAGAAACAAAAACAAAACCTGAAATACAAATGTTAATAGCAGCATTATTCACAATAGCTTAAAAAGTAAAAACAGCTAGAGATTTAGCTCAGCGGTACAGTACCTGCTCGGCAAGCACAAGGTTGTGAGTTCGATTGTCGGTACCAGAAAAAAAAAAGTAAAAACAGTCTGTATAATCAGTTTTCTGTCACTGGGATATAATACCTGACACTCAAAACTTAAAAGGAAGAGAAGTTTATTTTGGTTCATGTTTTTAGAGGATTTAGGCCATGACTGATTGGTTCCAAGGAAGAAACAGTACGGCGAGGAGGACATGGCAGAAGAAAACTGCTTAACCCATAGCAGTCAGGAAGCAGAGAGAAGATCTGGGGACAAGAAAACACCCTTCCAGTTCATGCTTCAATGACCTGCCTCTAACCAGACCCTACCTCCTACAAACAAGTCAGCTATAAACTCCTCAGTGGACTAATCCACAATGAGTAAAATGCCTCCATGACCCAGTCACCTTCTAAGTACATAAGACTTTGAGGGGACAGTTTAGATCTAAGTATAATTTCACCCCAGCCCTCAAACGGCTCATGTGGATCTCAGTATGCAAAATGCATTTAGTCCATCTCTAAGAGTTGCCAAAGTCTTAACAGGTACAGCATTGCTGAAAAGTTTAAGTCCAGAGGTCTCCTCAGAGATACAAGATAAACTCTTAGTTGTGTGCCCCTATAAAAATAAAAAATAGTTAAATACTTCCAACATGCAACAGCACAGGGGTAACATTCCCATTTCAAAAGAAGGGATAGAAAGAAATTAAACCAAAGTAAAACGAGAATCCAGCAGAATCCTATAGCTCCATGTCCAGTACATGGAACAGATGTGCACTCCGGAGGGTTCAAGTAGCCCCACTCCTATGGCCTTGCTGGTTGCACCCCACATAGCCTCTCTCATGGGCTAGCTCTGCTCACTGCCTGTGGCTTTTTTCAGCAAATGTTCCATGTTGTTGACATCTTTAAGTTCCTAGGGCCTCCACTACACTTGTGGCTTCACTCTCACAATTTCACACATTTCCCTCTCAGGGGCATATTGCCTGGCCTCTCAGGTCTTCCTCTGAAATCTAGGGTAGAAGCCTCCTTGACCCCATAACTCTTCTGCATGCCTATAAAACAAGTAGTACCATATGGATGACCCCAAGGTCTACTGCTAGCTCAAGGAATAGCTGGGCCCCCTTGACTCATACCTGCGGTGGCCTGTGAATACCTAGATGAATGAGCATGGTGAATAAACCCTGAGGACTCAATTCCCTTGCACTCCTTCTCTAGCAGGAGGTCTAGGGACTTTCTTTTCAAATTAAAGATTTATATTTTTGTATCTTTGAGCCTGAGATGAATGGGATCTTACTAATTTTTGACATGCCTTCAAGTCATCTTTCC